CGTACGGACGACCGTGCGACGAACGTATCACCAGAGCCATCGTTGTTCGCTGTGTATTGTATTCATACGGGCCGACCGTGCATTGCGAGACGCACGCGTTAGTGTGTGTATGAATACACAGCAAACAACGATGGCTCTGGTGATACGTTCGTCGCACGGTCGTCCGTACGCATCTATGCTCAGCATATTTATCTTGCATAGAAATATGCCCGAACCGATGCTTGATAGAATCGAAGCTAGAATTGGGGCATTAACTGATTTGATTCGACAGATTCAATGATTTTTTTTAATACAACCACAATGTAATCTCTAATTACAATAACAAAAACTTTCCGATACATATCGATGCAAATGAGCTGCTCCAAATGATATCCAGATCAATATGCATTTCAATCATTTAAATAAAGACCGTAATAAAAATCTATAAAAAAAATGCAGTGGAAACTATGAATTAGAGAGAAAAAAAACGAATGATTTGAGAGAATTTAATCCGTTAGAAACTATGGTTAGCCGTGAGTCGTAGTAAAATATCGATTTAATTTTATTTTATTGGCTTTAGGAAATAGCCGGGAGGGAAAAGAAGCTGTAAATCAAAAATAATTCCTAGGTAAAATGGTCAATATTCCCGGCAAACGAGCGAATTGATAAAATCCAAACACTAAAAGATATTGTTAACGTGTGCGGCTTTTTGGTTGGAAATTTCTTTGTATGCAAGAGTTCGTTTCTTCTGCTAGTTGTTGTTTTTCGTTTGATTTTGGGTTGTGTACAATGTATTTATGGTGGGTTATTTATATGTGATTCGGTCAACAACCACTTGTTGCCTGAACCATGGTTGTTTGCCATAATAACAACGCATGCTCACCGAAATGCTCGATTCATACGGAAAACGCGTAAAAGTGCACAATGCACCGACCGAAAACAGCATATCAAACGTATTTGAATTTGTGGACGAAAAGAAAAAGCAGTAACCTCAAAGTGAAGTGCATAAAAGACGTAACATCTTCAATAACAAAGTTAAATGATGAAGAAACAAGAAGTAAAATAAAAATAACAGCGATGAACAGATCTTTCCAGAAATACTGGTTTATTCGTGTGCATTCTTATGTGTCTGTTCGTTCCCTATTCTATCCTTATTCTATCTGCTTCTTTAGTTGTTACGTGTGAGAATCATGAGCGCGGGCCATGGCTTGGAGTTTGGGTGCAACGTGCACGATGTCTTTCACTCAATCCAACGAGTAGGTGGCTAATGGAATCGGCAACGCCACACAGCCACATTATCAAATGAATTGAAATGAAACGAAGAGAAAAAAACCAAATAAAACGCATCCGGCAAATGCATTTTCGTCCGTTTGCTCGTTTTCTTATGCCCTTGCAATACACACACACACACACATGCGCTCAATATCAAGTTATGCATTCCAATATTCCGGATTAGCGACGAAACCGACGCAAATAAAAATACACATCAAAACGATTTAAAGAAAAAATTGAAAGAAAGAAAAAAAAACACACACAAATGAAGATCATTAGTCACTTGGGGTCATTATCTAACGCAAAAGTACGCAATCGTTTCGACAAGAATGCTGCATCTCTTCGCAAGCACGCACACATTTTTATCACTTTTTTTCTCATTTGTTCGATCGTCGCATTCGTTGGGTCGGTGCTAAACAAGTTTTTTTTTCGCTCGCTTTGGTCTCCAAATAGAACTATAAACAAGTTTACATTTGGTTTGGCATACAAATAACAAACGAATACGCAACAGATTGCCATATTTGGTGAAAATACATCAGAAGAGAGAGAGAGAGAGAGAGAGAGAGAGAGAGAGAGAGAGAGAGAGA